CTCAGCACTTGCTCCTGGTAATTGGGGGGGAGGGAGTGTTAGCCAGGCGGGAACGGGGTTGATGGCTCACCTGCCTACTTGTGCTGCGGGGAGGAGGCGTTGGATGGCTCAAGCCTGCCTCCTGCTGCTGGGGGGAGGGGGACTTGCATGGCTCAGGCCTGCTACTGCTAATAGAGGGGAGGGGGTTGATGGCTCAGCCTGCTACTGTGCTGGGGGGAGGGGGTTGATGGCTCAGCCTGCTCCTGTGCTGGGGGGAGGGGGTTGATGGCTTACCGGAGTGGTGCTTGTGTCCATGGCAGTGTTGCCGTCTGGTCGGGCGTGATCAGGTCCAGATGAACTGCCGGATCTTCTCATCACCATTGTAGTGTCGCACACAGAACAGCAAGCTTTGTGCAGGCAAGAGACAGAGAGCAAAGTGTTAGGTTCCCATGCTTACTCTGACACGCACACCACACGCCACACACGCTACGCACACGCGCACGCGCACGCGCACGCGCACGCGCCGCGCCGCGCACGCGCACGCCACAGCACAGGCACACGCACACGCACACGGCACACGCACACGCACACGCACACGCACACACACAGCACAAACACAAACACACACACGCACACAGAACAGCAGCTGTGCAGGCAAGAGACAGAGAGCAAGTGTTAGGTTCCCATGCTTACTCTGACACGCACACACACACACACACACACGTATGCATGCGCACGCACGCGCACACACACACACACATGCGCGCACTCACACACATACGCACACACTCACACACATACGCACAAACACACAGAACAGCAGCTGTGCAGGTAAGAGACAGAAAGCAAGTGTTAGGTTCCCACGCTTACACTCACACGCACGCACACACACATGCACACGCACGCATACACGCACGCACGCACGCACATGCACTCACGCGCATACGCGCGTACGTACACTGTAGATAGCCTTCTGGCCTAATCTACAATATTATAAAATAAAATACTAATTCTATTCCAATCCATATAAACCCACGTACATCGGCATGCGATATTATACTGTATCTGTTTCTTTTATCTTGCGCTGCACTTACTATAGTACGAGTCATATCCTCTATCTCCTTGATGCTTCTCTCCCGCTTGAACTGGCAGTGAGATAGAATATCATCCCAACGTCCCCATCTATGTAATGTCAAGCAACATACGTTTTATGTGGAGACGTATTATGTTTATATACAGGCATAACATAATGAACATATTACATTAAACTATTATAGCTAGAATAATAAATTCTATGCAAGGCAACTGTAATAATGCTGAACTCTGAACTCTGAAGTGACTTGAACTGACTGAAGAGAGATAAGCGAAATGCTGAGTAGATAAAAACAACAACAATAAAAGAGCTGCTATGCTTGATAAACTTTGCTTGACAAATGCACAGAGTCAATGTTCGTAATTCTGATCCCACACAACCATCTACTCTTTCACTCACAGCACTCACACCCAGCCTAACCTCCGCACACACACGCACACGCACGTGCACGCACACGCATGCACACACGCACACACGCCACCGTGCATCGCACGACGCGCGCAAATGGCAGCACACACGCAGCGACGCAACGCACGCGACGCACGCACCAACACGCACGCACGCACACGCACACACACACACACACCAGCAGCGCGCGACGCAAATCCGACGAACCCCACACCGCTTACCCATAGTGCAGCAGGTTCTTCTCGACCTTGAAGCAGTCGGAGCGCGTGTAGGTGGCGCCGTCGTCGACGCTGTCGTCCCACTCGTCGTCGCTGTCACGCCGACGGCCCTTCGAGCGTCGGCTGCGGCGTTGTCCGCCGCGCCGCGACCCAGCCTCCTCGTCGCTGCTCGAGTCCAGGTCGGAGATGTCGAGCTTGCTGTCGTCGTTACCGAAGCGCTTCGTCTGGTTGCGCTTGCGCGGCTCGTAGATGATGCGGTCGTCCTGGCGACGGGGGTCAAAGGTCAGTCGCGCGTCATCACACGTGCATTTTTGACAATTTTTTTGATTTTTTGATTATTTTTGAGTCGACCTTGTATACATCTCTCTTGCTCTCTTGC